CCAAGCCTAATGCAAACAAATCATAGTTTGTCAGAAATAAGGATCAGTTTATGTAAGATTGTGATTTTTATGCAACCAAATATTCCCTAAAGCTGGGAGGACACTGTGCGACTTTTTCACTCGTAGCACTCAGCTTCAGCTCAAATTGTACGACTTCATCGCAGAACAGATCTCACGAGTCATGTGCTCACTGTACGTCTGGTAGCAACACGTCAGACTTAAAAATATGCTAAACATAGCAGTTTTTACACACTTCAGACTTTTTTTGTGTTGTTTGCCTGTTGTCCTTCAGGAGTGCTGCAGGAGGACACACAGGGGGTTTATGGGGGTTGGATGAGGAAAACTAAATAAAGAAAGTAAATCTGTTTTGTGATCAGTTTAATTTGACATGAACACGACGAACACGCTTTCTTGACAGTCCTTGTCATTGTGTGTAAAAGACGTGTAGAAATAAAAACGAACAACGTGTGTTATTAGGGAAATAGCAGGCGAACGGTGTTGACGCATGATTACGCATGCGCCGTGAGCAGTTCTGGTACTTTTTGGGTCGCAGCTGCTCGCTGCTCCGCTTCAACCCTCACAAGGAACGAGCAAAATATCAAACACTCCAGAAGTCCGTGGAAGCTCACGATTGCTGATCGGTAGCTGCTCATGTGGTGTTAATGGCCTCTCGTAACCCCCTGTACACTACACGACGCTCAGCGCCAAACTCGCCCCGATCTTGTGGATTCTTGCACGAGTGGAAAATCGGCTCAAAAAAGTGAAAAAGTCGCACAGTGTACGCCCGGCTTAACACTGTAATTAAACCATCAACAGGAAGTATTTGATCACATTTCCATTTTTCTGTAAAAGCAACTATCAGATCTGAGTAAATTTGTTCATGTTGCAGTCAAACGCCAAAGTGAAGCTGGTGCGGAGTCTGGCAGTATGTGAAGAGCCCTGTGGTCCGTTTTCGACCGATGGACCTCCAGAATCAGTACGTTTCCTCTTCTAACATCAACCATCTAACTTATTTTATAACTTAAGTTAAACAAGTTATTTTATGCATTTTTTTCTTTCTCTATAACCAGAATGCTTTATTGTCAAATGTGTCACATACAATCTGCATCACACAATCAAAAATAAAATGACAGGCACCTTGACAGGCCATAAGGTGCATCTTCAATAAGAACATTTGAAATGGCAAAAAGGAAAAAACAATTGAAACAAACTAAATATTTAAGCAACAGTGATGGTAAACAATGGGTTAGATTTAGAAAGCAGCCATGCCATTTCCTTGTTGCAGTTGTACCGTCTACATATTGACAAAAATGTAATTGCTTTTTTCAGGATATCATCCAGCTTCACATCAGCTGTCCATCAGACAAAGAAGAGGAAAAGTCCTCCAAGGATGAGTACGAAAATGAAGAGAAGCAGAAGAAGGACAAGGCTCCGCGAAAGATGCTGTCTCGTGGTACGATGAACATTTGTCGTTGTTGTTATCCAAACTGACATTAATATTACTCAGCTCCATTATGTGTTTTGGTCATTAGCATTTACAAAAATTAGATGTTGGAAGATGAAGCCAAAAGGAACCACATTGCCTTCTAGTGGCTGGCTGCAATGTATAGATGCAGGGACAGAAGCCATATTGAAATCACAACATAAATCTTCTAGTTCATTGGTTTTGTTCAGTTATTCTGTAGTTGTTATAGGTGTGGAACACTGAAAAACCTTTTTGTTTTAAAAATATCTAAATATAATCGGTCACCCTGTGCGTTTCATGCAGGCTGAACATTAAAATGGTCTCTTATACCTATCTCCTGCTTTAGCTTCTGAAGGACAGTAAACGGTGAAACTCTAGGATTAGAAAAGCCTGATGGATCTACGTCACACTGTCACTGAACAGTTATGGACTCACCCATCTTGATGGGGAAAGCTGTTCAGCAAGTCCACCACGCAGCAGAACTTCTTCAGTCTTGTGTTATTTGTGGAGATAAAACATCAACATTGCACAGCGAAACAGAGTCAGTGGTAGAGTTGTGCTGCTGTTATCCAGTCAGAGGCAAGATGTCCAAATATCAACAAATAACAGTCCAAAACCTGCCATCTGAAACAACTCTCTCCTGACTTGTACTTCCTGATTCAGGCGCCTCTGAGCTTCTCAACCCCCCCCCCCCCCCCCCCCCCCCCCCCACACACACACACACACACACACACACCCACGAGTACAGCTTACAAGGCATTCATTCCCACTAGAGACCACTGCAAATGCATTGATTTAATGAGTGTTGAAAACCTTGTAAACACACACTGAAGTGAAGAAGGTAAAGTATTCAGGCCTGTTCAGATAAAAAGGGACACACTGGCCAATTACTGCACTAGAGAATAAATAAACTCATCCACACCTCTACACAACACATTGAAAGGACTGATTTTAAGTGAGCCATGTATCATTGACCAGTGGCTTATCATCATTTGTCTCGTAGACGCAGATTCTAAAATATTTTGAAAAACAAGCAAAATATGGAGAAAAGGTATAAAATAAATGTGTCTTGGTCACTTGTTTTCTTTTTGATATTCTTCTAAGAAAAACTAAAGGCACTAGAATAAAATATAACTTTTCCTCAAACAGTTACACTTTATATCACACTGGGGGCTGTTTTGTTTGATATTTGATCTCAAGCCTTTAGAGGGCCAGAATGCTAAACATCATTTTCCTGCATTTGTCAAATAAGTGACACAGTGTTGTTAAATATTCTATTTCTTGTTAAATATTCTATTTCTTGTTTTATATACTCAAAATACCAACTCAACTATTTCTTCAGAAGAACCTTTTTCATTTTTAATGCTTTCTTTCTGTTGGGTTCCTTGGTTGCCATTATGCTGAGAGCAGAGATTAAATGGCTCGTCCAACTGTCTTATTGTAGAGGAAATTGTCCCTCTGCAGACTGTGTGTTTGTGTGCATGTGCGTGTGTGTGTGTGCACACAGCTACTCTGATTATTTGTTTCTCATGTTTTTTCTCTCTTGAAAATTTTGGTATGTCAGTGCCAGGGTGTTGGGAAGCCTTTTTAATGCTTAGCATTGTGTCAGAATGTGCTTGCTCTCTGTTGCACTGAAACTTTAGAAAAAAGGGTTAATTGGTTTTTTTCATTGTTTTTCTTTCCATTAGACTCCAGCCAGGAGTACACGGACTCCACAGGCATTGATGTTCACGAGTTTTTGGTCAACACACTGAAAAACAATCCCAGGTATGATCAGCAACTAAGAAAAACTGAACAATCAGATAGTGAATCATCTAAATTTTTGGTAGAATTATTTTATCCAGATGTGTTCTGAACAAAGCAGCCATATTTTAAAAAACGGTAGCAGAAAATCCTAAAAGGAACTTCTCTTTCCACTTAAGTTCTGACCTTTCATATCTGTCTTGTCTTTCCTTCGGCCCACCAGGGATAGAATGATGCTGCTTAAACTAGAACAAGATATCCTGGAATTCATTAACGACAATAAGTGAGTCTGCTCTTCGTGATACTCTTATTTATTTAGTTGTTTACTGATTGCCTTAGTAATAATTTAAAGTCTGCTTGTAATTGACACTATCATGTAATCAATATTAAGCTTTAATGAAAAGACACCCGAAAATTCAACAATAACGCATTTTTACGTCATTTGTGTCACTTGCAGTAATCAGTATAAGAAGTTTCCTCAGATGACTTCGTATCATCGAATGCTGCTGCACCGCGTGGCTGCATACTTCGGCATGGACCACAACGTAGATCAGACGGGGAAGGCCGTCATCATCAACAAGACGGGCAACACACGCATGTGAGCTCTCCACTTGACTCAGGCTCTTTAAAACATGAACCCAACATGTGTTTTATTTAATCTGGTTATGCTGATTTAAGCCTATTTATCTGCTTTGTTTAGTCCGGACATGTACATGATGTTATTCTGAAGTAAACTGCACACGAAAGAACAAAAATTATGTAATTAAAATGCTACAATTTGGTATTTCCCTGTAAAAGTCCCATGTAAGGTTTAAAATGGTGGTAATACATAACCTGGTGTGGAATAATGCTTGCAAACTAAACAAATTAGAACAAACTAATAGTGCACGTATTCTCAAGGGTTGAGAGTAACAAAGCTACATGAGTGAGACTTTTGTAACGATACAAATATAAGACTCTAACAGGATAGTGGATGTCTGAGCTGAACAGACTAAACGCAAAGCCAGACTTTAATTTAGAGCCTAAATGTGAATAACAGAGAAAAATATTGTATGTCCCACTAATGTATTTTTATTTCATAATAAATGTTTCTTTTTGATTCAGTTATTTTAGAAAAACGAATCTGCACCACCTAGTGTAATAATAAAACTCCTTCATAAAGGACAAGCCAGTGTTTTAGTTTGATATTAAAGGTGCAATTTGCAAGAATGACATCCTGTGGTCAAATGATGTAACAGCAGTCCATTTTTCTAAGCAATTAAATAATTTTAATGTCTGTTGCCAGTTACGGATCAGTGGTATTAATTATTTGATTAAGTATTTCATTAAAGATTGATTTTTTTTTCCCGTCCTTGGCAAGGTAAATGTCAAAGTTAAGACACATTTTTCCAGACTAGTAGGGTATAACATTTGGACTACTCCTACACCTTTAGACACACAGCACTGGCCTCTGAAATATAAATACATAATTTTGTTTTTTAACAGACCAGAACAAAGGTTCTCTGAACACATTAAGGATGAGCGTAACGTTGACTTCCAGAAGAAATTCATTCTTAAAAGAGACGATGCTAGTATGGACAAAGATGATAATCAGGTAATGGAAATTAGTTACCATCTTCCATTTGTTGTCTTCCTTTAACCAAAACAAAATGCTGTTAGTCATTAGGTCATGAATGGTACCAGAAGCATGTGTCTTAGTTTATTGTGCAGTAGGAGACAGTCTTGTTTAATATTTAGGACGAAGTTCTTTATTTGGATGATTAAAAGATGCATTTGTTAAAGATCTTTTGAAACACATGTATGTGATTGTCTTTTCAAATGTTAGATCCGTGTGCCACTGCAGGACGGGCGGCGTAGCAAGTCCATTGAAGAGAGAGAAGAGGAGTATCAGCGGGTTCGAGACCGGATTTTTGCTCGAGAAGTAAGTATTAAACCTTGACCGGCACTGATCCGGACAGATTAGCATTAAGCTTGGGACATTCTTGTTTCTCTGTTGTTTAACCATATAATGATATATTCCTGGAATGTATTTTTTAATCACTAGTTTATTTTCTTTATATTTGATGAAATCTCTACATGTAAATACCAAACAGTTTACATATAGTGAATCATACGCATGCATTTTTTTTACCATTATGAAAATATTTTGAGAAATTACATCGTGGGAAAAGTGATTTATTTGTCACTTTTTGTGTTTGCTACAATGATCTGCAAACAAATTTCCATCTCTAATTGGGTTTATATGTATCTTTAATACAGATATCTGAAACGTCTGAATGTTTAAAGGCTAATGTGCAAAATATGGTAAAACTTCACAATAAGGGTCCATTTTTTTATGTTACTTGTGCATTATTAAGCATTAATAAACTATTAAAGTTTTAACAACTGCCTAATCATATTATGTAATGCATTACTAAGCAAACCTCTCTCCCTCCACCCTTTGTCCTAACCTGAAGGACACTTAAAGGTAACAATAACAATACCATTAATAAAGGGACACTTTATTAATCAATGGTTAGTAATGCGCTAAGTTACATTAATAAGTGGACCCTTATTGTAAAGTGTTACCCAAAATATACTAAAATATTTGCTCATAGTAGGTCATAATTCATAATGTGCAGGTGTCTTTCTTCTTACAGTCCTCTCAGAATGGATACATCAATGACAACAGGTAAGAATGTGCATCCTCACAGATATTTACTTGCATTTCTTAAGGCAGGAATCATTTTACTCCTCTGGTTATTGACAGCTTGTCCCTTTAGCTTTCGGTCACAAAAGAATGCCACTATGGGCCCTAAAATGTAGCCAACTAAACAATTTATACAGACCCTCCAAAGTCTTATACTGAATTTTTATGTGAATCAAAAGTTACAATATATATTTTTATATAAAACTAGACAAACAGTCTTTAAAAGCAAAACAAAGGGTAGAATAACATTTTCACAAGGAATGAGTTTGCTCACACAGCAGCTGCACACAGCTCTACCTTTCAGCTTGAAAGATGAGGGCCTAAGATGCTGAGAGGGAGACAAAGAGGAAGCGTGGGCAACTCATGAGTCAAATTTCTGCCCTGTGTGCTTTTTTCCCCACTTAAGGGTGAAAGTTTCCCACTGTGGCTACCTCTACCACCCACAATTCTTTATTTCAACTTTCTTTAAACCATGTCTTATTCTACAATCCAGACTTGTAACCTGAGCGTTTTCTCCTAATGTTAACCCCAACAGACTTTCCACTGAGGGCTACTGTTCTAGCTCTCAAAAGAGGAGGCAGATCTTTAGGTATTGGGGTTTTGCTGACTGAATAATGTGTTGCCATGCCCATTTTTGAAAGTGGTTTGGTGATGATAGTGGTGACTTGTGTTGATTATCTTTGCTTGGTGTAATCGGCTGACAAATGGCTATTCTATCATTGCACCGTGGGGCCTTCATCAGCTCATGCATGGCTGCTTTGTGGTTTCACTGGAAATTGATTAACCTACTTACCCCGTCACCCATCCACCTTCAACTACATTTTTTTATAAAACAACCACATTTCTTTCACAGTAAGCTGTTTGTTTTTTGATTGACTTAAGTCCTCTAGTTTTTAATAAAGTCACCTGGAACATTTTGGCACAGACATGTTGGCACTGAATCTGAATGTTGATTTGAGCTAAATGCAGGAAACGGAAGAATCAGTTTGGATCCTTTCAGGATGGAAATTGACTTTGGCTTCTTTTGTTTTCAGTTTTAGGAAATACATTAATTTTAACAGTAAATTCCAGATTCTATGTATATCTGTGTTTTACTAAATATCAATTTACATATTATCTGAAACGTTGGGTCCAATTTCCTAATGGCACATACAGACTAAGGTTATTAATTTTGTTTTCACAGCATAGACCTAATATTTTTTGGATATAATAAATTGTGATTTTACATCTTTTCCCCAATAAGACCCCTGCCTATGCCCAAGCCAAGCCAGGACCCCAATAGCAACTCCTACCCACCTACACAAACTGATTAATTACAGACCTAACACAGACATGGAGAATTCCAGCTCAAATACAGAGTTTTGATCACATTATTGGGTGTGTTGTTGCGATTTTATAAGTGTAATTTTTACAAATATAATCTTGGTTAACTCACATCCTTAGTTTTGTTTATACTTTTTATACTCCAGACATTTCCATGAACCCATTTCACTCTAGCTTTAGTGTTGCATTGATCAGGGTTTTTTGTCTTACCGCCTTCTTATAGATGGCTTAGCATGTGATTAGTAGCAGAAGTCACACTGAGATGATCACCATGAATTACTCCCTCTGTCACAATATTATATATTAGCTTTATTTGATCACAAAACAATTACAATAGCAGTAAAATGTTAGTTATCTTGTATTCGAGTTGCTTTAAAATTGCACAGCATAAAGCTCGAAATGATTTTAATCCTCTGTGACCGAAATGGGAGCGACCAAAGTCAGAAATCATTGTCTAACATACATATCACACATAGATTTTCAAAATACAATGTAGTTCAAAACTTTTTTTAGTACATCTAAAGCATTTTGTCCTCTGTTGTTTGGTTTCTTCAAAATTTAGCAAAGATCGAACGCAGTGGAATGATTTTTAGTCAGTATTCTTTGCTGTCCTGTTGAATATGATTAAATTATCAGTGTTTGAGTAGAGAGATTTTGTGTGATCAAGAGTAAAATTTCTCTGTGGAGCAAAGCTAACAAGTGTGCGCCAGCATATTCGGAGAATGTCATTGCCTCCACCCTTCCTCAAAATAGGTTGTGCAGAGAGAGGCCTGAAAATAGATCCTCCATTAATTACAACCTCTGAAATATTTATTAGCCGCAGCCACAACACCACCACCACCTAGCTATTACTGGGGCCTTACAGTTTTTATGGAGCTGTGTTTGGTGGAGATTCCCCAAACTGTCGTGTTTTGACTTCATTTTTCTTCTGTTCTTCCTTCTTCCGACTCTTAATATGGCAAGAACACATTTGTACACAGTTATTTTGGCATCATTTGCCTGTAATATGTTTTTTCTGCGCTCACCAGTGAAGATTTGTAAAACCCTGCGTCTGCTTAAGAGTTAGATTTTTTTTATTGCAAGTTTTACATTAATTCTAATTATTTCTAATGCTGCTACTGCTCACTCGTGATGGGTGGGAGTTCTGACAGTGCTGCCTGCACTTATTGTGTATTCATTGATTTTGTAAACAACTACCGTAATATCCAGACTATAGAGCGCACCTCAATATAAGCCGCACCAGGCTAAAAGCTGCAGATATCTACTGAATTGAAAATGTAGTTTAGCTGAAGGTAACTGAACTGATCAGTATCAAACAAAACAGAAAAGTTATTGATTAATTCATTCATTGTCCTCCTGCGCACTGAAACCACAGAAGTCCTCTTCAGTGTCTGAGTTGAACAACCTCAGAAGAGCTTCGTCACATACCTTTTCTGTGGCGATGCCAGTGTCGCTCTCCGTGTTGCTGTCATCATCCCGGGGTGAAGCTGGGAAAACAAGCAGCGCCGTTTTACTGGGCTTCCTGACAGGGTTGCGGAAGGTGCTTTATAAATAAAGCTTTGATTGATTGAAAAAAATCCTCCTGGGTGCTTTCCGTAGCACTCCTTTAACCATTCCTTCATTAGACTTTCTAGCATCCGTCCTTTCTGGTTGACTAAAGCCGCGCCTCATTATAAGCCGCATGGTTCAAAGCCTGGGAAAAAAGTAGAGGCTTATAGTCCAGAAAATACGGTAACCTTATCCAGCATGTCGGCATCAAAATGAATGTACACAACAAAAATAAAGTGATTATTTGTAGACCATGTGTGAGAGTCTTGAGTTGTCGAATACATCTGCTGCGTGATAACGACGTTCATGTACATTTGGTGTAAATGGAAAAGGTTTATGTATGACTCATTTGTCATTGCTTCGATTTTTTGGGTTGCATGTGTTTTATTCTTATTTAATGTTTCACAAATTTGCTTTGCAAGACTCATTTTTGTAGATGTGTTTTGCGAATGGTGTCCACTGTGTTACACTTAGTGATTTGGGTGGAAGTTATGCAAATTTGTGTCAGCCAACTCCCTGAAATATCCCTCCACCTTGGTGTTGTTTAAAGCTCTGTCCTTTCTGCATGTTTGTTCATCCAATGAGTGGGTTTGTTTGTGTGAATGTATGTGGAGTTTTATATTTACCAGTTTGGAATTAATTTTGGTATGTTGCCTGCTCTTGTATTGTGGTTACAACAAACCAGCCAAAATGCATCTTTAATGTTCTACCTAAAGCCTGTTCTTTCTTCCTGTTGATGAACCTTCTCTGTATTCTCCTGTCTGTAAAGCCAAGGTCACACTGTGTGTTTTTCAGCCGTCATAGACAAATCTTTCACCGTGAATAGAGTTGTGAGGAACAACGATGAGCGTGAGCATGATTTGCAGGTCTTTGGCTGCTCAGTGTAACAGACCACCGACAGCTCTTTGTGCACTCCCATAACAGCCTCCAACTGTCCTCAAGCAGTGTCAGAAATCTTCAATTCGGTTCTGCAGTCGAACAATGAGAATGCACCCCAAGCCACACGAAAAACTAGTGACAGCAACACAATGCTGTAGCAGTAACAGTAGCAGTAATGGCAGTAAACCATGAGTGTCTCCACAGCCTTCTCCTTTTTTTTTTCCTTCTCCTTATTTTTGGAGTTCAGTTCAATCTAATAAACGCTAGCAATTGTTCCCTTTCATCGTTCCTGCCTTCGGTATATGATGACTTTTAAGCCTAGTTAATACTTCACCATTAGCTCGGCGATAAAGAGACGCAACGTCATGATGTGTCATCGCAAGCGGTCTGCGGCAGGCAGAGTGACAGAGACATGCCCAAACGTTCAACAGAGACCATAAGCCTGTGATTGGTTAGGACACCACTTTCTTTAAATTAGTCAAAATAAGCACCATTCCCCCTCCCATCCAAAATAAAATCAGTGCCGAAGATATCTAGCGGCGGACAGTTTGCAGAACATCTTACTGAAACCGTCTGATGATTTAAGCGTTAATACACATGACTGAAGGAGTACAAAGGTATGCTGCAAACGTTTTGTTAATGGAAGATAACTGCATGAAACATGGGTTTCGAGGTGACGACTGCACTAAAAGAACGAGAAACAAATTATTTCATGTTAAGTCTCTGAAATGCACGAACACAGTATAAGTACACAAACGTAAATACACCATCATTGACCAGAAATGTGACTGCAATGGTGGCAGGAGGCCCTCAGAAAAGTGCTTCACCCTCTTTTGTCCTGGTGGGGAATTATACCACATGCAACAGTGAAGTCTGTAGGGTAAACGTCTCCACCAATGCGTGAGCCCGTCTCCACATAGGGTGATTTAGAAGTAGAAACTCAGCTTTATTGTCATATGCTTTTTGTGACATGTGCGTGTGACGTTGGCATGTCCCACTAAAATGAGACGTTATGAAGTCTCTCATTAAAATCTTGGGCCGTACAGTGTTCCACTTCTCTGAGCTCATTGTGTGACATGAAGCGGTCCTTTAGGAGAAACGCACAGTGTGAACCGGGCTCAACCTGTATTTTTTCTAACTTCACCAACATTCCTTCAAATCCTCGAATGAGGCCACCCTCCTAATACGCACTCCTCATTTACTCCTACACACTTTTGACTCTTTCTCTGCTTACATATTTTTCTACTTTAATTGTACATATCTTGCTTGTTAACATCAAATCTCTGCTGCTGTGTTCCACCTCAGATTTTATCATGTCAGGTAATCTCTTTTCTGTTGTGCCATGTCTCAGGGGAAACCGCGAGAGCTCCAGCCGGGCGTCTAGCAGCCGTCAGAGCAGCACAGATAGTGACATGAAGTGCCTGGAGCCACGGCCCTGGAGCAGCACAGACTCAGACAGTTCCAACCGCACCCTCCGGCCACCCGTGACTAAAGCCAGCAGCTTCTCTGGTATCTCCATTCTTACCAGAGGGGATAGCCTTGGCAGCAACAAGGGATCACAGGGAAGCTGCAAAGGCTCTCGTTCTGGTAAGGATGGAGGAGGATATTAAGAATTCTGGTAAACGCTGAGACTAAAATTATTGTAATTTATGTTTAAGGGTCAGGGTGAGTGTCTTTACGCTGAATCTACTAAAATAAGCAATTGGTAAACATTTGACCAATTAATGCATTCCCACGAATGTGACTTAGTCTTTGTAGCATAATTAAAAGGTCCTTTAGTATCTGCAACTTAAGTTATCCCTGACAACTGGAGGGTTTTCTTCTCATATTCATTGTATTGTTTCTCTTTCGAAAATGATGTTTGTATAAAGCCAAGGACCGTAGGAATCATAGCTGATGTTCCAGATGTCATTTGTAAGAAGAAAAGATGAACTTTCTACGACATGTTTTTTCTCAGAAGTTTCCCAGAAAGCCTGAGAATCTGAAAGAATTAACTCAATCTCAGAAGGTTTTACCTCAGAAATTAGACCATAAATACTAGGTATTATGAACTCCTAACAGGATTTAGAAAGTTGCCAGTTTAGTGACATGTTCTCCTTTCTTTGCCCCTCTTCATTGTAAAGTTTTGAAGTACCTTCTACTAGCTGATTGACAACTGAAAGTAAGCCTCTCAATTTCTGCATTTAAGACGTCAAAAGTTGCGTAATTTTCACACTGAAATGTATTTTCTTTGTGCCACCAAAGCTCGTTACAGAGGCAGTCCGAAACTCCTGTGGTTGAAACACTTTAAAAGAGACTGGAACTAATGTGAATAAAGTCATTATAATGGGAACATTAAACCCACAACATGGGGCTGGTCATAATATTTTACATCAATACATTCAGAGTTTTTAATTTTATTTGGTCTCTGTTGAGTTTTCCTGTCCTGAAATATGATTGAAACACTTTAAATTTTGCATATTTAGCAAATGATAAAAAAATTTGAAAAACCAAAGTGTTTTTTAGTGTATCAACAAGCAAATGTTATTACATTTCAACAAAGCCCAAGCAATGTTTCATTTGTTCTCTGTTATCATGTAAGTAGTAAATACTCAAAAAATACATTAGTATTAATTATTGAAGGTGCTCAATGCTGCTTTTTTATTGTTAATAAAAAATTGCTAATTTTTCTCTTTTTCAGGCTTGCCTCTAGTCAGCCCTGATGTGTGTCCTCCATCTGCCTCCCAGTCCAGTCGTAGTCTGCTTCCCTGCCCACCTCAGCCTCCACAGCAGCCACCGACCCAGGCACCACCTCAGACTGCCCTGCTGCCCACCCCGCAGCAACACCCCATGGGCAACCACATGATCGCACAGGTCTCCACTATCTACCATTATCAAAACCAAAAAAGAGAAAATAATTGGTTATTTTATGTTGACACAAAGCCTTACATTTGAAATCAGAGGCGTTTAACTTTTGTCTTTGTTAGTTAATGCATTTCATCTGTATCTATGTTGAATTGAATTTCCACGTATAAAAGCAAATTTCATTTCCCCTTTTTTCCATTTATGCTCATTTAACCTTTTACCACTATGTTCTAAACTTCATTGCTCCTGTCTGCCTTTTATCTTGTTGTCCTACGTGTCATCTTTCTCTAGTGCTTTACTCTCTTAATCCTCTGCTTCTGAATTTCCTCCTTTTCTGGTGCATATAGCCGGTGGCATCTCTGCAGCCTTCTCAGCCTGTCTCCTACTCCAGTCCTTCCTGTCCCCAGGTTCTCCTGCCAGTTTCTCCTCCCCAGCAGTACACAATGGTACTGATGCCTTTTATAGACAAACATTATTACTTTAGTGATGCATCACATCTTCAAACTTCTCTCTTCTACTGAAATGCATTTGTTATGCTTCTCTGTTCTCATTAACATTTGGTGAATATTTATTCACGTGAAGCTCTTTCTGTGCTACTCTTAACCAGCTGTGCATCATTTTTGTCATAACTGTATATATACTGTATATATATATATATATATATCCTATTATTGTGTAAACATTTATTTTATTGTGCCCACTTCTCCCCCGTGATTGATTCTGGCTTTGAGGAGGATTTCACTAACAGAAGCATCTTCATGTCGGGAGTATTTTTTTTATAAAAATAGTTCTTTCTAATTACACAAATTCTCAAATCTGTGGCCCAGATGGAAATTTAGTGACATGGCTCTCATCACTAGTAGTCTGTCTGAGTTTGCTGCAGCTCCAGCTTCACAGCAGGCTCTGATCTAGTCCTACTACTAACATCGTTCCAACTCTTCTCAGGGAGAGGAGCTGCCACCCCAGTTTACCCAGATGACGCTGAGCAGACAAGGCTCCAGTGAGAACCCAGAGCCGCCCCCCATGTATCAGGCTCCTCCCACAGTGCTTTCACAGCACCCACCACCTCAGACCAGCTACATCATGGCTACCACGGGTCAGCCTTTGCCACCCCCATCTGGCTACCAACCTGCTACTGGACACCCTCACCCTCCACCTCCACCACCTCCTCCATCCCAGCCTGTCATACAGGCTCCACCTCCTCCACAAGGCTACATACAACCTTCACCTCAACAGGTTGGTTGTCCTCATCAGAAAAGACAAAGATTCAAATGATTTATATTTAATTAGAATATTTTATTGTTTGATTAAACTGTAATATTAACTGAAAAAGGGACATAATATTAATTTACTACACTGGCCATTAGTATTATTACGAATACTGTAGCCGTATTGCTAGTTTTCATAACCTAAAGATGGAATTATTGTGTTTTAGACATGATTTTAAATGTTAACTTCAATCAAAGCCTGAAGGAACTTTAATCAAAGCTTAAAGGTATCTGCTGTTTCTAAAACTCACGTAACTTACTAGCCTGGCCTGCCAGACTCGTCCTCTGTTCTACGCAGTCCCATTGCTTCCCATAAGGAAGCATGGGACTGGCCGGTCAGGCTAGTAACTTACACAATCCTGAGAACAAAAACTTTATTTTTAATCTTTGTTTCTCTTTGTGAACTTTCTCGTTCTCTTTGACAATTTGCAGTAATGTAATTTCTTGAACAACTTTGAAAATTTCATTTCTAGCTCATCTTCACATGCATAAAAACCATGTATCAAATTATTAGCAGCACGTAACTAAATACATAAATATATATTTGATTTGTGTTCCCTTGAAGCTGCAATGACAAATCCGTAAAACAAGCTAACTTTTAAACACAGACACAGAACTCCCACCTCTCTCTTTGGCTGACATCCCTAGGCCACGTATCCCAGATGCTGGAACCCGCATGACCACAGAAAACGAGATAGCGCTAAACACCAGTCATCATTTTCTACATGCAAACATCTTTTGTTGTCCATGAAATTAAATGTTGTTTTTCTTTTTGGGACTCTGGATTTTTTTTCCTAAAGTTGAAGTGGTAGCAGCTGGCTACCTCTCACACCAGGGGTGTTCTGTTGCTAGATACGTGAGCGCATAATGAATGGAGGACCCAGGAAAGTGCGGAGGTTCGGTGAGACCAACTGGTTTCTCAAATAGTTGGTTTTGATCTGATGTTATTGGTAGAGGAGACAAATGCGAGAGAACAACTTAGTTGATATTTTTTTTTAATTTCCCTAAAATATTTATAGCTACTATGTTAGAAAAAAAGTTAGCTTGATTTGCTATTGTAGCTTTAATTCTTCAAAAATAAGCAATTGCTTATCATGGCAGCAGTAGCTCAGGAGGTAGAGCAGCTTGTCCAGTATTCAAGAGGTTGCAAGTTTGATCCCAACTCTGACCAGAGAATGCTGCTGTTGTGTCCATGGGCAAGACACTTAACCCACCCTGCCTGCTGGTGGTGGATGGAGGGACCGGTGGCGCCAGTGTTCAGCAGGCCTCACCTCTGTCAGTGAGCCCCAGGGCAGCCGTGGCTACATCGTAGCTCATCCCCACCAGTGTGTGAATGACTGATTGTGTTGTGAAGCACCTTGGGGGGTTGTAGAACTCTAAGAAGGCGCTATACAAATACAGACCATTTACCATGGCAACTTAGTGTTGAAACTTTCTTCTCACTTCTGAGTCCCAAGTGGCCCAAGTTTAATGTTGCAGGTTTAATGAGTTTTATTATTGATGGGGACTTTTTAACATATTGCTAACTCACCTCTTTGCCCCCGCCTGTTTTTAGTTAAATTAAATCAGTTTTTACAGTTAGCAAAAATATTTGAAGGCACAACTAACTTTTACATGTTCCCTATAAATTAATTTTTGTCTGAACTAAACTGACTTAATTGACTCTAGTTTTATCCTAGGTGCTGACGTTTTCTCTGTCACTCATACATTAGCTGAAACCATGGCTCAGACAGTTTCCACAACATCAGAAAAGAATCAAAACTTTTAAAATCTGGTGTATTTTAAATCCTTTGATCTGATGCCGTCAAACCACTGTTTGATTTTCATTCTTTGAGGGACGAGGAAACACTCGAGGCTTTGATCATCGTCAGAAATCTCTCATCAGAAGTGTTGGTGCACAGAAACGTTCTGATTATTGACAGCAAACAAAGATCTCTCATCCAGATATTCAGCATGATGGTAACTGATTGGGATGCTCGTGTCATCGGAAATCGGGCCAGGTCGCGTGATTTTCAAAGGATTGGAATCTGGTGGAAAAAAAATCTAATTTAACCTCATAAAACAACAAACATGACTTTTTCAATTTCTGCTGGGATGGATTTCCGAACGTAACAACAGTGGCTAATTTTATTTTAACAAGTTCCACTACATCGATATTATTGATTAACAGACAGCAAAAATGTGCTAGCTGTTAGCTGAGCTAACATGTCGCCTTAGGAAGTCCAAAATATCAGCAGTTTGGGTTTATTTCAAGCCAACTATGAACGACAAGGCTGCTTTTGAATCTATTATTTTATTGGTAATCTTTCCTGTTTCTGATGAGCGATAGAGGTAAAATATTATTAGCAGCTTATTTTTAGCAGAGTGTTCTGAAATGTTGTTCTTAGCAGTTTTGTACAGCTGTTAATAACATGAGCTCCAGGCAAGAAATGCTCTTACAGAGTTAAAACAAAAGCAATAAAATAAAAGGTGGAGCAGCATAAAATCAATGCAGGCATTTAGAAATGAATGACATATTGTCAAGCATAACATATTTGTTCATGGTTCAATACAACTTAGACAAATGTTATTTTCTTGTCATTTTTCTTCAGATACAGGTATCGTACTATCCTGCTGGTCAGTATCCCGGCTCAGGCCAGCAGTACCGTGTGTCCCAGCCAATATCCCACCAGGTGTCTTACCCAGCCCAACGAACCCAGCCCATGCCTCAGCCCGCTCAGCAGTCAGGTCAGCACTTCTTACCATCGTGATTCTCTTTTAACAAGAATGAGTGGACTGAATCATCTTCATCCTTCATTGTTGTTGATATTTTAATAATTATGAGGATCGTACCATAATAAGCAACAAATGAGCTGCAATTTAAAGAACCTGTTTTGTCCTATGAGAAAAAAAAAGAAGCTGACTCACAGTCTGCTTGTGCTGTCTGGTGAAAGGTTGGGTTTAAACGACCTTTTCCCCTGCATTATGTAGCCAAACCAAATGTGCTCAGACAAATATAGCGCTCTGTAACTTTCGTGGAAAACATGGGCTGGCAGCGGCTTCAGCGTTTAGCCTCTTTATTTTATGGTTTGTGAAGGTTGACTGTGTTTGAATAGCGAGTGGCAGACATTGTTGACAGCCTAAAAGGACTTTGGTTTATAATGGAAGTTTTCCAGTCCACATAACTAATGAAGACTAAGGTCAGTAAGACCTTGCATCACGTCAGCACTGATGTCTGTTGTGTGAATGTGGTTATTTATTCCTGGGGAAACTATAATGTCATTTATTCTTGATTCAAATCAAATGTGTGTACATTTATTACAGATGAAAAAAGAAACTACCACTGTTTTAAACAGTTTTGCTGTTTTTCTCTCCTCTCACTGTTGTCATCAGGTCTTCAGACCATAATGCCCAGCCAGCAGCCAAGCTATCAGGGTATGATGGGGGTGCAGCAGCCCCCAAACCCCGGTCTGCTAAACTCCCAGAGGGCAGGCATAGGAGGGCAGATGCAAAGCATAATGGTCCAATATCCACAGATGCCATCATATCAGGTGTGCACCGTATAATGTAAAATATTAGTCAGCATTTCAAGGTAGTGACTGCAGAGTTGTTATCTTTATAGAGTCTGGGTTGAGGCTTTTATTTATTTATTTATTTAATCAGAACTGACATTTCTTCTTAAATTTTAACAGCATCCACCCAGAAACACCACCCCAGTTGTCTTCATGATGTTTTCACTCGTTTTTCCAGGTACCAGTGGCCAGTGAAAATCAGCAGGTGGTGCAGCAGCAGTACCAGCAGCAGGTCATGGTACCAGTCAGCCAGTCTGTCCAAGGCCCCATGCCTGTCTACTACAGTGTTATCACACCCACACAGCAGAATAGCACAAGGTATGAGTGTCTCGCACAGTAGATCTACTGAGGGACAATACAAGTCCTCCATTAGAACAGCAATATTAAGGATTCTGTTTCCTTTGATTTATTTTTCTGAAGATGGATTAAACCATTATAAATTGAACATGGGTTAGGTTTTATCATGTTTTGAGTTATTTAACCCATTTTTTTTCCTTGCAGCCCATCAGTAGGTTACCTGCAGCCTCCCAGTTCAGAGCAGTTTCAGATCACACAGCCTCCGTCACCCTGCAACCCTCAACCATTGCAACAGCAATATTCAGGTGAGTTCAAGATTTAAGATAGCTAAATTTCCTTAGTAAAATTTTCATAATCCCATTATGTGGCTTCAATTCATCTTATACACTTAATGCTCAAAAAGTGTAGAGAAAAAATCAGCCTCTGGTTCATACAGCATCTACACACGTCACTCAGTAAAGACAGTTGTGCTGTTTGTGTAAATAAAAAAACTGACTTTGAGTTCACATAACATAATACCACTATAAATGGTAGAAGTGGGATTTTATCTGCCATGTATAAAAACGAGGTGAAAGGGATTCAGAGGAAAGGTCAGACAAAGGCACACGGAGTTCACACTGAAGTTGTAAATCGATGTTCTTTAAAGAGGTCATGTTTGATGAACAACAAGCCTCACACGTTTATTCTGCTGCTGCTGAAGTGGATTCTGATCAGAATGCAGTTGTGCTGCAGCAATAATTAGATTGTTTGGTCACTGAGACCTGTGTAAACGTTGTTTTACCCATTTGTTCAAGGTTTTAGCTCCTTATGATAGAACGGGCTAAAGAATAGTTCATAAAGTTCTTCTCTTGGAGACCGACTCTAGATTATCATCTTAGATTAGCTAAAACAGCCACATGAGGAGATGAACTCAGACCAGGAAATGGTGGATACTAATGCTTGTTATTAAAAGGTATAAAACGGGTACGGTCTGTCAATGATTGAGAATTTCAATTTACAGTTAACTAAACTCCGTTTAATGGTGCACTCCTTTATAAATAGAGAATTAAAGTATCACAACTTTTTACCAGATGTGTTTTACCTGGTGATTTCACAGCTACCTTTTCATTTGTTCGTTCATTCGTTCATTAATTTGCAGAAGCAGGGATTTGTTTTGCATTTCATCTCACAAACTGATAGTTCCTAACTAATATGTTTTCCTGGTTGTATTTTGTTATTTGGGATAGCTCCTCCTGGGCCTGGGGTGATGGTCATGCAGCTGAGCGTCCCCAACGGACCACAGCCTTCCCAGAACCCCCCTCTGGTTCAGTGGAACCCATGCAAGTATTACAGCATAGAGCAGAGGCCCAGCAAACCTGGAGAACTCTACAAACCTGATAACTCTGCGCAGGTACACAAGGAAGACCCTTATGTACCATTTCATTGTCACTACCACCCTCTAGTGGTCATGTAATGCATAATGGGTGGAGTTCATGACTTCAGCTTCTTTCAATCTGATAATTATTTAAAGTTTATATTATTGCTTTATGTATATCTGTTAAATATATACGTTCCTTGGTGCATGATGTATATATGGATTAGGTAAAAGTTAACTGATTTAGACAAATGATGTTATGAATTTGCTTGTCACATGGACATGTATGTATTTTCCTTTTATTTTTCAACATTTTGTTTTGAATGTGTATTTTTTGCTTGACATAAATACAAAACTGAAAACTGATTCGGTTCAGTTTATCCTCTAAAATGAAAGAAGTTTATATCACATCACATCAGGTCCATCTTATTATCTTCATTGTTTTCCCCTCTGATTTTTTTAAGGCCACCACTCAGCTGACGAGTCCTCTGGCCTCCCCCACTCAGTCTCCCACCCCATCTCCCTCTGGCAGTGTCGGCAGCGTCTGTCCAGGTCTGGGACCATTACCTCTTATTTCCCAGTTCCCGCGGCCGGGAGGACCAGCTCAAGGTACCGGAGAAGATTCAGAAACATGAACACACGAATAACCTTGTAGGTTTAACGGGTCCTGAGTTCATATGTGGTCAGATATTGAGTTATCACAGCCATAGACATAGGGCTGACTAAATCTACTTCCTGAGCAGTTTGCTTATTTATCCTAATGAACTCAAATCTACTATTTAATGAATAGATTTATTTGACTTCCTGGTCTTTGGGTGATTTACGAGTCAGATTTTTGGCGTAAATTCAGTAAAAGTCTTCGTCTTCGTCTTCGTCTTCCTCCGCTTATCCGGGTCCGGGTCGCGGGGGCAGCATCCCAATTAGGGAGCTCCAGGCCATCCTCTCCCCGGCCTTGTCCACCAGCTCCTCCGGCAGGACCCCAAGGCGTTCCCGGACCAGATTGGAGATGTAACCTCTCCAACGTGTCCTGGGTCGACCCGGGGGCCTTCTGCCGGCAGGACATGCCCGAAACACCTCCCCGGGGAGGCGTCCAGGAGGCATCCTGACCAGATGCCCAAACCACCTCAACTGGCTCCTTTCGATCCGGAGGAGCAGCGGTTCTACTCCGAGTCCCTCCCGAATGTCCGAGCTCCTCACCCTATCTCTAAGGCTGAGCCCGGCCACCCTACGGAGGAAACTCATTTCGGCCGCTTGTATCCGCGATCTCGTTCTTTCGGTCATTACCCAAAAGTATAGATTTTAACTCAATATTTAGATGGGATGAATTTGATCTCTACTCACTAGTCACTAAACCATTTTAAGGGACTGTTGTCAACTCTATAAACATGATCAAAACGACATTTATCCTTATTTTTGCAAACAAAATACTGTGTCAGCTTTAGGGTTTAAGCCCCTCCCCCGTGGGTTCATCTTGGGGATCTTATCACAGTAACTCAAAATTTTGCCAGGTGGCCTTTGGCTCCGAACCAGTAGCGATAACTCAGCAGGTGCACGTGACTGGCAGCCTTCCACCTGGTCAAAACTCGTGCAGCAGCACATGATCTCACCTCATGGCTGACCTTTGACCTACACTTACACTCAGCCCGAGTGTCCTCTTTAGCATATATGACACGTAGGAACAAGGTCTTGCATCAGTCTGAAATTTTATTTCTGATCTCAAAACTAAAGTTTTCATTTTCACCAAAAAAGCAACACGAAATTCTCAGATATTGCTTATTTGTTTATTTATTTATTTATAACTTCTAAACTTTTCCTGTTCCTATTTTGTTTTATCATAGTTATTGTTTCTTTTGTCGATTATCTTCTGAAAAGTTTCAAAAACTTGAAGCTTTAAAACTGTCAGATCCCTCCTGGTGCTGTTGGACTGACTGTGTTTTTACTTTCTTTAGGTGATGGTCGTTACTCTTTGTTGGGACAGCCTCTCCAGTACAGTCTCTGTCCTCCACCTCTCATGCATGGCCAGTCCTCGTACAGCTCCCACCAGGTCAGAAATGGCACAACTTTACCAAAACAAAATGCCTGTTGCTCACTTTAGTTTCCCTTTTGAAATAATGAAAAATCACAGAAACGCATCTCAGGGTTACACAGGATTTTACAGACCTATTGAAATGTATTGTTTACATCCAGGTAACTGCACACACGCAAGAACGCCGTCTCCAGCCATTACTCAGAGCTGTATCTCCACGATTTAAGCTAACAAAATATAACCTAGGGACTTAGATTTGACTACTTTAGATTATCTAACACATCTTTGTGCATATGAACTAAAAAATAAACATCTCACAGCTAACGGTGTTTAGCACAATACTTCCAGATGCGTTTGAAATGGGCAAGGAGCTGTGGGGATGACCTCGGTCTGTTGGTTCTCCCCCGGCTGACTGTTCGTCTCTGCGATCACACATAATTATATAAATTATATTATATATTTCTCTTAAGATCCCATCAAAATGTAAAAAACAGGTTTGAAGACATTATTCACTGAGTAGCCTTGATTAGACTGCATCTCTTTCTCAGCGCAGTAAATAGTCAACATTTCAGTTGAAATCACCGATTATGGTTATGAAATGCTAGAGAGGAGTTTTATTTATGACTAGGCAATGCAGGGTATGTGAATAAATTGCCACATAAGTGAAAGTGTTTTATTTTGTGTTGTCACAAATTCTTTAATGAATCTTGATTTGTCGACAGTTTACCCTCACTTTATCTGTGATTTGGTTACTCACTTGTCCAGAACTGATTTGAGAAAGTTCCAGACAGATTCCAGATAAAAGCAAAGAATTGTAGGGCTGAACAATTATAGGGAATGATTGAATTGCAATTTTTCTAGGAGAAATTATGATTTCAATTCAGTTTGCAATTCACATCATGTTCACCATGTTCAGACATAAAGGTGTCCATGTGCTCTTGGCACCAGGATACCTTAGGCCGCAGCTCAATGATCGACTTTGTTGTTGTTTCATCTGACCTGCGGCCGCATGTCTTGGACACTCGGGTGAAGAGGGGGGCGGAGCTGTCAACTGACCACCACCTGGTGGTGAGTTGGCTCTGATGGTGGGGGAGGATGCCGGTCAGACCAGGCAGGCCCAAACGTATTGTGAGGGTCGGCTGGGAACGTCTGGCAGAGTCTCCTGTCAGAAGGAGCTTCAATTCCCACCTCCGACAGAACTTCCAAAATGTTCCGGGGGAGGCGGGGGACATTGAGTCTGAATGGGCCCTGCTCCGTGCCTCCATTGTTGAGGCGGCCAACCGGAGCTGTGGCCGCAGGGTCGTTGTTCCTTGTCTTGGCGGCAATCCTCGAACCCGCTGGTGGACACCAGTGGTCAGGGATGCTGTCAAGCTTAAGAAAGAGTCCTATCAGGTATTTTTTGCCTGTGGGAGTCCAGAGGCAGCTGACAGGTACCGTCAGTCCAAGCGGAATGCGGCTCGGGTGGTTGTGGAGGCAAAAACCTGGGCATCGGAGGAGTTTGGTGAGACCATGGATCAAGACTTTCACACGGCTTCGAGGAGATTCTGGTCCACCATCTGGCGCCTCAGGAGGGGAAAGCAATGTGCTATCAACACTATTTATAGTGAAAAAGAAGAAAAGATATTTTCAATCGCGCCTCTCAAGATAAAAATCAAGAGGCGCTTCATAAAAACAAAAAAAGTAAAAAATATAAAAAAGAGTTAAGAAAATGATTAAAAATATATTTAAAATGAGCAAAAAAAAATAGACAATTGTGATAAAAAATGTAAAGAAAGAAAGAAAGAGTGAATAGGAAAGAGGGGAATCAGTGGATCCTGAGGAAGGTGGAATAGGTAGGGAGAGCAGAACAAGTGGGGATGGTGTGCTGCTGACCTCTACTTGGGATGTTGTGGATCGGTGGGCAGAATACTACAAAGACCTCCTCAATCCCACCGACACGTCTTCCAGTGATGAAACAGTCTGGGGACTTTGGGTTGGTCTCTCAAATCTCTGGTGCTGAGGTCACTGAGGTGGTTAAAAAGCTCCTCTGTGGCAAGGCTCCAGGGGTGGATGAGATCCGCCCGGAGTTCCTTAAGGCTCTGGATGTTGTGGGGCTGTGTTGGCTGATGCGGCTCTGCAATATCGCGTGGACATCGGGGGCAGTCCCACTGGCCTGGCAGACCGGGGTGGTGGGTCCCCTTATTTAAAAGGGGACTGCAGGGTGTGTTCCAACTACAGGGGGATCACACTCCTGAGCCTTCCTGGTAAGGTCTATTCAGGGGTTCTGGAGAGGAGGGTCTGTCAGATTTTCGAACCTCAGATTCAGGAGGAGCAATGTGGTTTTCGTCCTGACCGTGGAACACTGGAGCAGCTCTATACCCTTAGGGGGTTCTGGAGGGTGCGTGGGAATTAGCCAAACCAATCTGCATGTTTTTTGTAGATTTGGAGGAGGCATTCGACAACGTCCCTTGGGGGGGCCATGTGGGGGGTACTCTGGGAGTATGGGGTACCAGGCCCTCTGATACAGGCTGTTAGGTCCCTGTATGACTGGTGTCAGAGCTTGGTCAGCATTGCCGGCAGTATGTCGGGCTCGTTCCCAGTGAGAGTTGGGCTCCACCAAGGCTGCCCTTTTCCACCGATTCTGTTCATAACCTTTATGGGCAGAATTTCTAGATGCAGCCAAGGTGCTGAGGACATCTGTTTTGGTGGCCTGAGGATCGGGTCTCTGCTTTTTGCAGATGATGTGGTCCTGTTGGCTTCATCAGAACGTGATCTTCGGCTTTCGCTAGAGCGGTTCGCAGCCGAGTGTGAAGCAGCTGGGATGAGAATCAGCTCCTCTAAATCTGACCATGGTCTTGAGTCGGAAAAGGGTAGAATGCCTTCTTTGGGTCAGGGATGAGGTCCTGCCCCAAGTGGAGGAGTTTAAGTATCTCTGGGCCTTGTTCACGAGTGAGGTAAAGCTGTGGCGCGAGATCGATAGGCGGATTGGTGCTGCGGGGGTTGTACCGGTCTGAGTCAGAAGGTGAAGCTCTCGATTTACCGGTTGATCTACGTTCCTACCCTCACCTATGGTCATGAGCTTTGGGTAGTGACTGAAAGAACGAGATGACGAATACAAGCAGCCGAAATGAGTTTTCTCCACAGAGTGGCTGGGCTCTCCCTTAGAGATGGGGTGAGAAGCTCAGTCATCCGGGAGGGGCTCGGAGTAGATTAGCTGCACCTCCACATCGAGAGGAGCCAGTTGAGATGGCTCGGGCATCTGGTCAGGATGCCTCCCTGGTGAGGTTTTCTGGGCACGTCCAACCGGGAGGAGGCCTAAAGGGAGACTCAGGAAACGTTGGAGGGACAATGTTTCTCACTTGGCCAGGGAACGCCTTGGGTTCCCCTGGAAGAGCTGGCCCAAGTGGCTGGGTAGAGGGAAGTCTGGGCCTCTCGACTTAAGCCGGGTGTACACTGTGCGACTTTTTCACCTTTTTGAGCCGATTTTCCAGTCGTGCGAGAAGCCACGACATCAGGGCGAGTTTTGCGCCGAGCGGTCGTGTAGTGTACAGGGGGTTACGAGAGGCGATTAACACCACGTGACCAGCCGCCGATCAGCAGTCGTGAGGTCGCAGGGACTTCTGGTGTGTTTAATATTTCGCTCGTCCCTCGTGAGGGTATCGCACTGTTGAAGCGGCGCTGCGAGCAGCTACGATCCAAAAAGTATCAGAACCGCTCACGGCGCATGCGCGCGCAATCCTGCATCAACGCCGGCCGGTCGCTCGCTATTTCCCTAATAACACACGCTGTTCGTTTTTGTTTCTACACGTTTTTTTTACTCACAAAGATTGTCAAGAAAGCGTGTTTGTCGTGTTCATGTCAAATTAAACTGATCACAAAACACAGATTCACTTTCTTTATTTCGTTTTCCTCATCTAACCCCCATAAATCCCTGTGTCCTCCTGCAGCACTCCCGAAGGACAACAGGCAAGACAAAAAAGTCTGACGTGTTGAGTAAAAACTGCTATTTTTAGCACATTTTTAGGGCCGACGTGTTGCTACCAGACGTACAGTGTGAGCAGTCAGGTCGCATGCGAGAACTGGGTCGTACAGTGTGAGCACATGACTCGTGAGATCTGCTCTGCGAGGAAGTCGTACAGTTTGAGCTGAAGCTGAACGCTGCGAGTGAAAAAGTCGCACAGTGTACGCCCGGCTTTAGGCTACTGCCCCTGCGACCCGACTCCGGATAGATGGATGGATGGATGGATTCACATCAATTCAAGCAGAATATACAGTATCATTTAAAAACATGATGGGGAAATCAAATCATATTTTTAGTGCAGCGCCACAAGAAAATAAAAACATGGAAAAACGACCAAATGTGCCACCCTATCAGCTCAAACATTGGGCTTCCACAACCTTCTGCCCCCACACCCCACCATCACTTGCTTCTACTGATGTAAAGCCTCCTTCTCACTGGAGGCATCAGCAGTGGAACGTCACTGCTTCAAGTAGAATCCATTATAGTCTATATGGTTGATCCAAACGGGCAGCTAAAGATAGGATCGGGTTGTATTTTTGCAGCAAGCTGCTTTTGGGACACGTCAGTTTCTGTAGTTAACACAGGAAGTCACACATGGTTTCAGTGTTAAATGTAATTTTCAAAATAAAAGTTTGTCAGTGCCTAGTGGGAAGCTTGAGGTGAATGCTTCCTTTAACTGCTGCCACCATCTAGTGCCCTGTCATGTGACTGTGTGGCTCCAATAAACCCAGTAACCTGGTAAAACCTCCTGCTGTTTTCAGGGTCAAGGGGTGATGAAACATGGGGCGAGAGGGAAAAAACAAACACTCAAATCAGCGTCTACAGATCTGGGCACCACTGATGTAGGTAAGTCGGAGATTCTTCTTTATAATCCAAACAAGTTTATTTAGGTACAGTATTCTTATGCTTAACGCAAAAGCATGCACAAGCTGTTCTTCAGTGGGTGAATGCATTCTTTTTGTTATTTAAGTTTTTTATTAAGTTTTCCAAATTTTTACACACAAACAAAAACAAAATACCAAAATAACCCCCCCACCCCCACCCCCCACCCCTTACAGCATAGGCTAGCTCAAAACCACACAACCACAATTCATAATAATTTCAAAACATGCTGTCCAACAACTTTTATATCTTTTTACCAATAAAAACAAAAATTCATTCCAGGTATCAAAATATGAGTCTTTTTTTCTCTTCATTTTAGCAATTAATAATTCATAAGATGCTATATCCGTCATCGTTATTATCCAGTCTCTGTAAACAGGTGTCTCAAAACTTTTCCATTTATGCAGTATGACTCTAGCTGCTGAAATAAAACCTGTAAGAGCCAGGGCCCTTGCCATTGTAGATATATTCGGTACACTCCTAATAAACAAAGTCGAGCAGTTTCCGGGAGCGGCATATCCAACCACTCTTGCATTGTATTCAGTATTTTTTTCCAAAAAGGTTGAATAACATAGCATGACCACATAGAATGAATAAAAGTACCTTCCTGCCTTTTACATTTCCAGCATAAATTATTCTCCATTAAACCCATTTTATAAAGATGAACCAGTGTAAAATAATAACTATGGATTATCTTATGTGTCAGCTTTCCTCGTACTTCCCTGGTAAACCATCCCATATTGGACATTATCCTTTGCCATGAATCTCTATCCAACCGTATGCTTAAATCCCTCTGCCAAACATGCCTTAAGCCATCATAATTTCCATATAAGACTTTGGCTGCCATCTTATAAAACATAGATGCTGACTGATACTTTTCTGCTAATTTTAAATAGATCTGTACAACATTGTCCTCTTCAGGTAACCCCATAACTAAACTGTCCAAGCTACGTCTTATTTGGAAATATCTCCATAAATTACCTATACTATCCACGTTAAATTGTAGCCTCAAGTCCTGATAAGATGTCACAGTTCTGTTCTCTATTAGATCCTCTTTTTTCTCATGCCCCTCTCTCTCCACGTATTCCAACAGATGACCCCCCCCCCCCCCCCCCCCCCCCCCCCACTGCTGGGTTATATCCAATTGGTGAATATAATTGTTTATACTGGGATATCTTTAACCACTTGAGTTTGATCCAGATATTTTTAGAATGCTGTAATATTGGATTACTCTCTTTATACTCAGCTTCCTTCTTTTGTGCTCCTTTTTGTGACAAAGCTTCCAAAGGCCAAAAGGGGGCAGTAAATTATTTTTCTATACCTACCCATCCTAAATAAGTGTCCTCTTTACCACAATGTTTTGTTAATTTAGCCACTTCAAAGGCAATGTTATACAGCTCCACATTTGGCAAAGCAAGACCCCCATCCCTCCTTGTTACATACAGTTTTTGTTGATTCATCCTTGGTTTCTTTCCATTCCATAGATATTCCTTTACCGTCTGATTATATTGAGAATAATACTCTTCACTTACTGAAATCAGAAGCATCATTGACAAATAATGAAATCGTGGCACAATCACCATTTTAATGGCATTATTTTTTCCCCATGATGTTAAATTGAGTGCTTTCCATTTCTCCAGGCTGTACTTCATCTTAATAAGGAGAGGAGCCGTATTAATGTGCATTATATCTGTTATATTAGCACACAGTTTAACCCCTAAATACTTCATCCCAGATGAGAGCCATTTAAAATTCCTTGCACGCACCATGGTAGAATAACAAGCTCTAGAAATGGCCATAGCCTCTGACTTATGCCAGTTAACTTTATAACCCGAAATTTGAGAGAATAAATCAACTTTGTCAAGAAGAGCCTGGGTAGAAGATGTCTGCTCTGAAATCAAACAAAGAATATCATCTGCGTAAAGAAAAATTTATGTTCTCTCCCACCTGCTTCCACCCCTTTAATTGCTCCCTCTTTCCTTATTGCAATTGCTAATGGCTCCATAAACAATATAAATAATAACGGGGACAAAGGATCCCCTTGTTTTGTACCCCTAAACTGTCTAAAAAAGGGGGAAATAAAACCATTTGTAACTACAGCTGTCCTCGGCTTTGCATGTATTGCCTTAACCCATGTAAGGAAACCGCTTCCAAATCCAAATTTTTCCAAAATATTCCATAAACACTCCCATTCTACCCGATCGAACGCCTTCTCAGCATCAAGTGAGAAGGCAGCGACCGGCACATCACTCTCCTGACTTTTCCACATCAAATGAAGTAGTCTCCACATATTACCAGATGAGGACCTTCCTTTAACAAAGCCCACCTGGTCAGGATGAATGAATAAAGATAAAAGTTTTTCTAATCTCATGGATAAAATTTTTTGCAAGGACCTTACAGTCGACATTCACCAGACTCACAGGCCTGAAGCTACCAGGATCCAACGGGTCTTTTTCTTATTTTAAGATCACTGATGTAAGAGCTTCATAAAAAGTTTCAGGTAGACATCCTAATGATTTTGCCTCCCTATATTAGAATAGGCACCAGAAGGTCTATGTTAACCCTACAATACTCAGTAGGAAATCCATCTATTCCTGGGGATTTACCCCCCTTCATAGACTGAATTGCAGCTCGGACCTCCCCCTCAGTAATCGGTGCATCCAGTTCCTGTTCCTCAGCTTGATGTAGTGATAACTGAGGGAGTTCGAGCCCAGAAGTAAAGGCTTCCTATTTACTTACGTCTGTCTTGGCGTCAGTGGAATAAAGATTTGTGTAATACCTCTGAAACAACTGATTGATCTCAGACGTCTTAGTTACTACTTCCCCTTCTTTGTTTCTAATTCCTGAAATAACATAGGCTGCCTCTTGTTGTTTCAACTGCCTTGCCAAGAGTTTACTGGCTTTATTTCCATTTTCAAAAAAATTTGCCCTTGTCCTGAAAAGCGCATATTCTGCCTTTTTGTTAAGTAACTCGTTAAAATCCATTTTCATTTTACATACTTCTTTTAGTAGTGACTCATTGTAGTTTAATAACAACTACTTTTCTTTGTCTTTTAATTGGGATTCTAATAACCTATTTTTTGCCTTATCCATTCTTTTCTTCCTGCTTGAATATGCAATAATTTTGCCCCTGACAAAAGCTTTAGAAGCCTCCCAAATGGTACTAAATTTTTCTGTCGATCCAGTGTCTTCAGCATATCCTCAAATCCTGAATCTTGGAAAAGGGAAACATTAAGCCTCCATCATTTACTTTTAGCCTGGTCCTCCCCCATCACAAGTTCCAACGTAACAATTGCGTGGTCTGTAAGTGCTATTGCTCCAATTTTACAACTAACACACAAATCACTCGTACATTTAGAAAGCAGAAAATAATCAATCTTCGAATAGGATTTATGCTCATGGGAAAAGAATGTAAATTCCTTTTCTCTTGGATTAACGATCCCCTATATATCCACAAGACACAAATCTTCCAGTAGTTGGTGAATAGCCTGTCTATCCCTAGGAATCCATTTGCTATATGTTGTCTTATCCAATATACCATCTTGCACCTGATTGAAATCACCCCCTAACAAAATTTGTCCATCCAGTGAACCCAAAAGCTTATTAATTTCATTTTAAAAAAATTGGGATCTTCTGTGTTAGGAGCATATATATTACAGAGAATTATTCTACTCCCATTAATTTTTGCTTTAATACATATGAATCTTCCCTCTTCATCTTTATGTTGATTTAATAATATAAAATTCATACTTTTATGCACCAAAATTGCGACTCCCCGTTTCTGACTATTAAAACAGCTGTTGAACACCTGCCCCACCCACATTGCTTAAGTTTATCTGCTTCCTTATCTATTAGATGCACTTCCTGGTGAAATGCTATATCTATCTTTTGAGATTTTAAATAATTCAAACATTTCTTTCTCTTCACAGGATTCGACAGACCATTCACATTCCATGTTACCATTTTAACACTTTTAACCAGTTTCTCTCTCTATTGACAACCAAGGATCAGAATCAATAAGGATAGCAAAACATAGTATAATACTATAGGACGGTGATTGTATACCGTTGTAGAACCCAGGCCTGTGCTGCACATAAAGACAAACTATAATCCCCCCGAACAAAACCCTTTATACCCACTAACATAAGCTTTATAAACTTTAAAATAACCCTACCCCCCAAAGAAGCAAGAAATCTCTATGGTCCGTGAGGCGCGACTTGTAAACCCCCCCCCCCCCCAATCCTCTGACAGTCCCCCCCCCCCCCCCAAAAAAAATACATATATATATATATATATGTATATATATGTGTATATATATACAGATATACATTTATACATACATACCCACGTGACTCCGCAATCGGGGAGAATGCATTCTGTAAATAAACTACACCAGGCTAACACATCTTTCTCTGACCCTGTATGCAGTGGTTAGCCGAGTTCTCGAAGTGACCGACCTGCCAGAGGGGATTTCACGTCCAGAAGCCGAGAAGCTTTTCAACCAACTTTCCATGTGTGGCGCCAAGATCCAGTGGCTAAAGGAGCCCCAAGGAGGCCGAGGAGTAGCAGGGGGCTGTGGCCCCGGAGCCAGCATGATGGGAGCCGGAGGAGGGAAGTACGACAGCAACGATCCGGCACACCTCTACACAGTAGTGGCAGTGTTCCCCAGCACCATGGCTGCCCAGAGTGCTTCCTTCAAACTGAACAACAGCGGGGCCAGCCTCTTCAAACTGAGGGCTGCCAAAAAGAACTATGACCTGCGTGTGCTGGAGAGAGCCAGTTCTCAGTGAGAGGAAGAGACGGCGGGGGACAGACGGACTCTTGGCGAAACAGTGGAAAAGGAAGGAGGACCGAGGGGGCGGGACCGCTCTTAGTGTACAATTTAAAATTAAACAAAAAAACAACAACTTGAGTTAATTATGTGTCAAATGTATAAAAGGGAAGAAGGTGTGAAACATGAGGTGGCTGGTGTTTGGTTGCAAATCAGATTTTTGTCGTTTGTTTTTATTCATCAGATTTGTTTGGTATTTATAAAGCAGAAGAGCACACAAGACACGCGAGCATGTGTTTCAATGTTGCTGTGGAATGAGTGCTGCCACCGCATGCGCACACACACACACACACACACACACACACACACACACACACACACACACACACACACACACACACACACACAGCTCAAAAGACACAAACGGACACAAAGTGCAGGCAACAGGGTCACGTAGCACATAATACACTGGACAGTCGATCCCAGTCAGAACTCCTCCTCCCCTACTGTTCTACAAATCCTTTTTCTGCCAGCGCGTTCTCTTTCTCTCCTTCTTTGGCTTTCCATCACCCAGTTGTCCCAGAATCTGACATATTTATAAAACTTCATACGCACAGTTGCGCACTCTCTCTGCTCTCCCCAGCTGCTCCTCCTTTTCTCTCTCTGTTTTTCCCATTTTTCCTCTCTCTCTCTCTCTCTCTCTCTCTCTCTCTCTCTCTCTCTCTCTCTCTCTCTCTCTCTCTCTCTCTCTCTCTCTCTCTCTCTCTCTGCTTATCTGTTCCTCTCATGTAGTGTCACTGCTCTCTCCTCTCTTGCTTTCTGTTTGCCTTACTGCTGTTGTGGGTTTCTGTATTGCGCTTTTTCTTTTCTGAAAAGTATTTTTTTTGAGGGTTCGATATATTTATATAAGTGATGTAAGGAATTAAATGAAATCTATATATTCAGTAATTTCTTTTGTTCCCAAGTGACAAAGTTTAGGCCATCCTTTACTCCTTTCTTCCCAAACCCACCCACCCCTACATTTGTTTCCTCCTTGCTTCCCCCTTCTTCAGCCCTCTCCTCTCCCACAGCCGTCCCCCCAGCTTCTCTCAGACGTCCCCATTTGTGTTTGCATTATTTTCGTTGACAGCTGTGCAGAAGGTATCAGAAGAAGTAGTTAAAGTGCACAATGATTGCATATGTCTACTGTAAATTTAATTTAATCTGTTATTTTTGTTTGTTTTTAAAAAATATAAAGTTGAGAAAAATCTATTAAAACAAGATTTGTGTTGTGTGGTTTGTTAAGTCTTAACCTGCCATAATCAGATCATGTATGGTTATTTTTAATCTTTCCCATTTTTAAAAAGTGCTTTTTTCTAGTTTGACATTAAGGGGTGGGGGGCATTAACTTTCAGGCAGCAGAAAATTTAATTCAGCTTCTTTTTACAGCTCCAGTCCACAACAGATGCTTCACTTTCCATACAAACAAATTAATCTATTAAAATATACCCAGCATTAAAGAAACTAGATTACACCAAATGTTCACTTTAAAGAGACAGTGTGCTGTTTTTACCATTAAATATCCATCAAAACGTTGAAAATTAATAAAATGTAGTTAAAAAGTACATAGGGCACAGATCTGGCATCTTTGGGGGATGCCATATTAGCCCTTTGATGCATGAATTATGAAATCTTCAGCCATGATTTTTTTAACAATTTTTTTCATTCATCTTTAGGTGTGAATGAAACAAATTTCAACAAATATTTTTTGTAAAATTTTATAATTTACAAATAATTTATTACAGGTCCACCTTAATGGACCACGTGCATTCTGAACATGAAATATGTTGGCTTGACTTACTGAAGTCCAAATGGAGGGGCTCAAATACAATAAAGTCTTCAACAACTGTGCTTAATAGCAAAAACAAATAAATAACAATTTTGAGTACCTGTCCACTGTAGTGACCATTATGCACCAAAGGGTTAGATGTCATGTTTCCTTCTGGCTGGCTCGGGGTCCTGCGCCTGTCAACATCCCACTAGATGATTGGCTGCATGTATGACTTACGGTAGTTACGCTACCATGTTCAAAAACATTTAGGCAGTAAGAAACATTATTTTAATTACTAAACTCTCCAAAACGTGAAAGAACATAATCGACAAAGATTCAATATATCGAGCGGTATTACCGTAGTTTGATGACGTCATCGTCATGTGAAGGACCCAAAAGGGATCTGGAGCCTCACTTATCAAGCTTGCTTACGCACAAAGCGGGGTCGGAAAACTGCATAAGCAACTTTCCACGCAAACTTTGGGATTTATGAAAGAAAACTTAGCGGAAAAATATGCGCAACTTTAAGTTGACCAAGGACCTGGCTTACGCACATTTTGTACATGGAGAGCACCTGCACTGCTGCTGCTGAGAAGGATAAAATTATGAAATCTTGCAGCATTATCACTTGTACTGCTTCGTTTTCACACAGAACAAGCCCCCCCCCCCCCCCCCCCCCCCACACACACACACACAGCCTGAAGTGCAGATTACGGAATGCAGAAAATCAGCAGGGGGACAGATTGAGACAGAATGCTATGCGTCTGTGACAGTGAGTGTCCTGTCACTGTGACCCGATTGATCATTCACCCTGCCTACTTGGACGAGGAAGATCTCCATTTGGCTGACTGGTTAGTGCGTGTGACTTTCACCCGGGAGTTTGGGGATTGAATCCTTATCAGATCATTTTCTTTATATCCTCCACATATCTCTCTGAAGAACTCAGCATTGACGGCTTCAGCAATGCTGAGCCACTCCGGATTTCCTCTTATTTGTTTTGCAAAAGCACTTCCTTTCATTTCTCCACCTCACCCACAAGTACCTCAATTTCAGCTTCTGTGAAATAGGCTTCCTTGATCTGCCTTGATCTATGGTCGCCATCGTCATTGGCGGAGCGCTGCAACACCCGGCTTATGTATATGCATGAGATCCACAAGGCACTTTGCATTGACTATTTATGGCAGTAAGTGGGCGTGTTGAGGGCGGGATGTGACAAAAAAAGCAGCTGAGAACATTTGTTCTGATTTATGAAGCAGAGATTGCGTGCAGCTGTGCGTACTCCATGTTTGATGGATCACAAACCTACTTGGAGTAAGTACTTTTTTTTTTTGCTGAGCTTAAGTAGGGTTTTAGTTAGGATTCTACGCAATGTTTGATACATGAGACCCCAGGAAACTACAGCGCCAGAAAACTAGCATCAGCATTGCATTCTCTCGATGGAATTAACTGAAGGACCATCAAAGTGAGGAGTCACGCAGAAGTTTAATGCTTTCTGCTCCACAGGTAACATTTACTATAATGATTTTAACTAGCAATAGTCACAGTGATATGGTGTAAAACTACCCTGAAATGTATGTACTTCCCCCTAGTGCCAGGAAACTACACACTGCCACTATAATGCAATCCCCCATCCTGCATGGGCTGCAATGAGTAACCTTCTGCCTTGACCATCTGGGGTCTGAGAAGACATGTTGGACCAAACAAAGACTGAGTTGAAAGCAGCAATAACTGGAAGTTCAAAGATGGGGAGAAAAGAGGAGATGCTCAGTATGTCCTCCAGCACTAGCAGCATAACTGAAAGGACGAGCAGGGATAAGAAGAAGAAGAAAAGATCCCACAGGATAACCCACAAAAAGGAAATAAACCTGATTCTGAGAGCAAGGTTCTCTGTTGGGAACATACAAAACATATTTAATAAAACAATTTGTGCTTGATCTTTCAGAACTTTATAAGCAGTAAGTCTTTGACCCATCTAGCAGCAGCTTTCTGGGTCAGCTGGAGACCTCTAACCCAATGATGGTCTAGTGCAGGAGTCAGCAACCTTTATAATCCAGAGTGTTTTCCCCTCTGTTTACATAAGTAAATCTTGTTTAGAGCTGCAGTTGTTACAGGGCCTTTTAAAAATGGGTACAATTTCGATGGGAAAAGTATGTTTTTTTCTTTCTTCCTTAGAATTCTTAAGAACTTTTTAGTGACCTTTTCTTCTGTAAATAACCACTATAAGATATTTGTTGCCATTTATTTAGGGAAAAAACTGGTACTGTTTTAGAGTTTTAAATGAGTCCTTAGGTGAGCTGTGGGATACTTAGATGAGTATCCCAAATGAACAGTTAAATTTTGGACATTTGCTAAGGAGCTGCTAAAGACTTTTGGCCGTGACTCACCTTCATCTGTTGTTCGGATCACCACATCCCCACCGGGTTCTGACAGCGCCACTTCCTCATCTCTGGTGGGCTGTTCATCCATGCCATCCTCCGCTGGTTCAGTTGGCGCAATCTCAACTCCTCCGATGGGCCGACCTACAGCTTTATTGCCTGGTCTCGACAGCATCACCTCTTCATCTCAGGTTGGATCCTCCACACCACAGTGATAATGTTGAAACCAGCATCTGCTGCCTCTTCAAGCTCTGTCCGAGCTCCAGTCTCGGCAGTCTCCTGGGACCACAGCTGCACTGCCTATCAAAGAAGCCTCTGCTCTGCAGCCCCAACCCAAGCTCAAACATCCTCTCCAGATGCTTCACTCCCAGCTCCAGCCAGAACCACCAGCTCAGTCCGAGCTCCCACTGTCACCACCACAACGCTGCAGACTCCCTTGCCATCTTAAGCCTGCTCTTGTGCTTCAGCCCGATGGTCCATGACTGAGCTGGGCTGAGCTCCAAGGCAAGTCCCACTTTGTCAGCACCCGGCTGGCTGTGTCCCCCCCCAGGGGTTGGTCCTCATCATGGGTAATAGGTCCAAGCTTCTTATCCAGGTCAGCATTCCAAGCGAGCCGCAGTTCCTCCTGGCACCACCTCCTGTCCTCTGGTGGGTCAGGTCTTGATGGGTTCTGTGCCCTTGCCTCAACGTCTGCGCTCATGGCCTGGAGTCCCCCCTCCTGATGCCTCCTCCTTAGCTCTGGAGGATCCACGCTGCAGCCTGGCTCCAAGGTCCCTCCTCCTTCTGTGGCTTAGACCGCTGCACTCCCTATCCAAGTGGCTCTGCCCCTTCCTGTGGCTCCGCCCACTCCAGCGACTCTGAGCACTCCAGAGACTCCATTTCCTGGGAACTCACCTATTGTGACCCTGTGTGGTCTGGAGTGCAGTCCTGTGCACTCCAGAATGTCCGCGCACCCCGGATCTCCATGCACTCCGGAGTCTCCCGCGCACTCCAGAGTTTCCATACACTCCTGAGTTTCATGAACACTCCAGAGTCTTTGCGCACCCCGGAGTTTACCGAACACTTCAGAGGCTCCGCACACTCCAGCGGCTCCACGCCCCCACAGGCTTCATCTCCTGGGAACTCTCCTCATGTGATCCTGCATGGTCCTTCGACATCACCACCATTGCCCCATGTTAGTGGAGCCAGAGTGTGGCCTCACATACTCCAGAAGCTCTGCACACTCCAGAGACTCCATCTCCTGGGAACTCGCTTCATGTGACCCTGCATGGTCCTCTGGCTTCACCCCCATTGCCCCATGGTGGTGGAGCCGGAGTGGCCTCACACACTCCAGAGACTCTGTGTATTCCAGAAGCTCCGCACACTCCAGAGACTCCATCTCCTGGGAACTCGCCTCATGTGACCCTCCATGGTCCTCCAGCTTTTCCACGATTGCCCCATGGTGGTGGACCTGGAGTGCGGCCTCACACACTCCACAGGCTCTGCACACTCTAGAGACTCAATGCCCCAAGACTGCATCTCCTGGGAACTCACCTCATGCGACCCTGCATGGTCCTCCAGCTTCACCACGATTGCCCCATGGTGGTGGAGCTGGAGTGCGGCCTCTCACACTCCAAAGACTCTGTGCACTCCAGAGGTTCCGCGCACTTCAGTGGCTCCACGCACGCTAGCGGTTCCACACCCCGAGAGACTGCATCTCCTGGGGACTCGCCTCATGTGACCCTGCATGGTCCCCCTGCTTCACCACAATTGCCCCATGGTGGTGGAGCCGGAGTGCGGCCTCACACACTCGGAGGCTCCGCACACTTCAGAGGCTCTGTTCACTCAAGCGGCCCCGTGCCCCCAGAGCCCTTTGGCATTTTTTAGTTATTGTTATGGAAAAATTTATTTTTAATAATTCTTGGTAATGGGCTCAACCAACTGGATGTAATATGTACTCCTTTATGCCTCTCTGCATCCTCTCACTCACACACACACACACACACACACACACACACACACACACACACACACACACACACACACACACACACACACACACACACACACACACACACACACACACACACACACAC